AAAAAAAAAAAAAAAAAAAAAAAAAAAAAAAGGAAAAAGAAACACCGTCCATAGGAGTGTTGGGTGAGATCATGAGATGAAAGGGTCTTGAGTCATTTTCGTACTTACTACTTGGAGCCAATACCCATATAATCACAAATAAACAGATGTTGAGCTTCAAACAACTCAAAACACCGCTATTTTGAACGCACTAAATAAATATATATTAAGAGTTTAATTAACAAAAAAACAAAAAGTAAAAAATAATTAATAATTTTTTAATTACTATCCTTATAATTTCATAAACTTTTATTTTTAATTTCTACATTTAAAAATATTTTATTTTATTTTTTATATATATTATTTTTCTTTTAATTTCTTTCATATATTGTTATAGAGATTATTAAAAAGTAAAATTTATGAAATTACAAATAAAAAACATAATACATAAAATATAAATAAAATATTTTAAATTGTGAAGAGACTATAAACTAATATTTACAAGACTAATAAGAAAAAAAGGTTTAATAAAAAAAATAAAATCCTACTTGGATTACCTGTGTAATTCTTCAATATTTTGTATTGTCTTTGTTGATAAAGAATAAACAAATATGATTTGATTTAATTATTTTTTATATATCGTATAGTTTATATACATATATATATATATATATATTTAATTCTTTTTTGTTAATTTAAAATTTAAACTAACCTTTTTTTTAATTATATATATATATATATCATATTACTTTAATTTGTGTATTACGAAATATAAATTTTTTATGTAATTAAAACATAACAATTCATTCCTGCAAACAAAAAAATTTATTTATGATATTTTTATATAATCATTAATTACAAATTTAGCCATTAACATTAGTAAGTTTAATATTAAATATTATCTTATCCTATAAATAATATTTTAATATGTGCGATGTACAAAATAATTTTTTTATATGACAAAAAAGTTATAATATTTTAGGGTAAATAAAAACTATAATAATAAATAATTTTAATATGTAAATTATATTCTAATTAAAAGTATTTATTGATCAGAGGTCAGGGAAAAATTGTGATGTATTAAAAAAATTATTGATTATTTCACTTTTGTATAAAAATAAAATTTCGAATATTCTCATACTTTCTTTTGTCTAACAAATATTATGAAGAACTTGTAAAAAAGCTGGTCGGTAAAAATATTTTTCGTTTCTCTGTGTACAGAATTGTTAAAACTTAGAAGGAGTGCTGCACTTTTTTGTTTGCATTTCAGTGTCCAGTGTCGTTTTCTATATCAGATATTTTGAGATAAAATATGTGATTGTATATTTCATGTCCAAACTAAAATATTTTAAAAAAGATGTTTATTTATTTTATATATTTTCTAAATATCCCGAAGCTTCTTATTTGACAGATGAAATTGAAGAAAACCTTTTTCCGCACCTTTTATTTCTTCTCCCAGCATACACTTTCTCACGTATATTCTTATATATATTATTAAACCATGCTAATTACTTTTTAAATAGTTATACATAATTATAATTGTTATCATATAGGTAATTTTTTCCACTTATAAAATTACGGTGTATAATTTTTTTCTGTGGGATTTCATTTGCCACAATTTTTTCCTTCAATCCTTAATCATTGTATTTTGTATTATTAACACGAGTTATTGTTAAAAGGGAATAATAATATTGTATATGTTTAAACAAATAATAAGTTTACATTAAAAAAAAAAAAAAAAAAGTAGAATAATTCCAAAGAAAGTTATTTGAAAAACGTAATCATGTGATAGACTGAGAGTTGATACTTGGCAGTATATTATCAGGAGAAGGGAATGACTTGTAATGTGGACGACCATTGAAATTGGATAAGCCATGGACTGTACGATTATATATGGTAGAGATTTCATCAAAACATGTGACTCTACGTATGTTTTCCAACACCAATTAATAATGCACCTTCATGTTATCAAAATATTATCCTCAACTTATATAATCTTTTAATGTGTGGATTCTAGCTGCCCACAGTTTAACATAATCTCTTTCATTCGCTCTTCACACTCTTAAGTTCATGGAATTATCTCTATGCATATCCCAATTAATTATATCTATTTCTATATCTATACATAACACCCATTACAACTTTATTGGTAAGAATAAAATTGAAATCATCAGTTCTCAGATAACATCTTCATTCAAATCTTATAACTATAAAACAAATAAATAAATAAATAAATAAATATATATATATATATATATATATTTATATTCTTGTTGTTTCTTGAAACGTAAAAAGAAAATATAAATAAATAAATAAATTATCCATAAGAGTCTAGTGAGAATAATCCAACTCGGTTATTGATCAAGTATTTGATTTGAGTGTGTCAGAGGTTAAGTTTAAGTAGTGGAAAGAAGTAAAACCCAATTTTTCTTAGAACTGTCAAAGTGGGCTCTAGCCCGTGGGTCAACCCGGCCCACCTTGAAAACGGGTCGGGCCGGGCAAAAAAAATGAAAAAAATTATAATAATCCAACTCGGTTATTGATCAAGTATTTGATTTGAGTGTGTCAGAGGTTAAGTTTAAGTAGTGGAAAGAAGTAAAACCCAATTTTTCTTAGAACTGTCAAAGTGGGCTCTAGCCCGTGGGTCAACCCGGCCCACCTTGAAAACGGGTCGGGCCGAGTCTTTAAGAAACTTCTTTAA